CACACACACACACACACACACACACACACACACACACACACACACACACACACACACACACACATACAACATGATGCAACAGTATGAAGAAACCTGTGTGAAAGCAGGAAAGATTTCTGTCTTTCTGATTATTTAAATGACAAAAAAAAAACAGAACTCATGGGAAAAATTCAGAAATGTAAATTTGCAAGAAAAAATGAAATATTTATGAAGGAAACCATTTATTTTGTGACCAGGTTGCTTCACTTTGTCTGGACCACAGTGATAAATCACCTAGTTTAAAAGAAAGACTCCCTGACATACAAACTTATGTTAATCTTTCAGTTTCTATGTTGTTTATTTTATTTCTGTGATGACTTGTTCGATAATTTTGCACCTTGTGTCTACGTTGTATCTCTTTTCTGTCTGTTTCCTTGTGGTTTGGCTGCATTCATTTTTCTTTCAAGTTCTTTTTTTGTAATTGCTTTGCATATTTTTGCAGCTGTCATTTTCAGTATATTTCTGAACATTCTGCATCTCTTTTTGTCATTTGTGCTTCTTTTGTGTTTGTTTTTCAGGTTTTTGTTGATATTTTTGTCTTGTCTGTTCTGTTTGTGTGATGTTTCAGTTTTTGGTTTTTTTGTTTTATTTCCATATTTTATTGAAACCTTTTTTTGGTCATTTGTTTTTTTCTTTGTCATTTTGCATGTATCCCTCTTTTGTTTGTTGTGTTTGATGCTTTGTTTCCTCTCTGTGGTCACTCTGGGCCTGTCTCTGGTCTTTTTAAGCTTCTTTGTACTTGAGGTTGTTTTGCAGCTTTTGTTCTTTTCTTCCACCCTCCTAAACATGAATCTGTTCCTGTTTTCAATGGGACTCTGCCCTCTAGTGGCTAAGCAGCTTCACTGCAGTCAGAGACGGAAAAACAAGTTGTTTTTGTTTCCATGCGTCCTTGAAGGCGTCCAACAGGAAAACCAGGCTCGTGTCAGGGCTGTAAAACTCCACATGACAGCTCTTTATATTTCATCATCTGAGGTTTATATGAAAAATAAAAGAAGCAAAGCATGCTTGATATTGGAGTTATTAGATGTTTGATTTTTTAAATTTCATATACAGATAAACATGTAACCTTATTATCTGACTTTGATCTTTGAACTTTCTCGTCGATTTTATTCAACATGAGTTTTTTCAAGATAAAAATGCTTAATATTTTTCTTATAATTTCACTTAGCAGATCAACATTTTCATT